CTCTACCCGTTCTATACCCTCCGATGAATCCAGGGATGCTCTTGTGCCTCCCTAGCTCTGGTACACACTGGATTGGTAGTTCTGGGAATTTCCCACCGTCTGGGCTGCCGGCGTGATCGAGGTGCGTCAAGAGGCTGCAGCAGATGCAGATACCTACCAAAAAAGTTACCAAGTGATAGAGATGTTGCACATAGAAGTCTGGTAACATGCAAATTTTGAATTGTCTGGGGAGGCAAAGGACCTACAAGCAGGCTGACATGTATACAAAAAAACCAAGTTCCCCGATAATGAACCGACGGTAACTGCTGAGTCAGCGAGGACTTGCCATCAGGTAAACGATGACCACGAGTACATACTAACGACTTCTCTGTTTTGCTCCTTACCTACAATGTCTGCTTGCTCAACCTCTCTGCACTCAGCATAAAAACGTTCAGCTTTTCAGGCTATCAATCACACCTTCTTAACCGTGATGCCGTTGCGTTGACACCATCCACAAGATGCCTCCTCCAACAACGGCAGCCAGCAAGGAACTTGAGCTGATTGAGAAGCTCGAGATGAAAATAGCCCTCGCAAAAGATGACAAACTCGAATCTCTTCTCAAGCCATACCTGCCTGCTCTGCTCTTGAAGCTTGGCTCGGAGCATGCTGAAGTGCGCAACAAGGTATGCACACGTGACCTGGTAGGAACTGGAATCGGAATCTCAGCTGCTGATTTCGATTGTTCAAATAGGTTGTCTCTACATGCCAGCATATCAAGATCCGACTTGCTGGAAATGGTAATATTGTTCTTCCTGTCGCGGCTCTGCTTAAGCAGTTCAAGGAGAACCCCAACTCTTCTATGATCCGGCACTTTGATCTCATGTTTATTCAGCAGAGTGTGGGCAAGTTATCGTCTACGGTATGTTTCAAACCGATCATCCTCGATATTTCTTTGCTCACTGTTTTTGACAGGAGCAAATGTCACTGCTGCCGACCCTTGTGCATGGGCTTTCAAAAGATGCCGGAAGGCCAACATGTGCCACCCTCTTCAACTTGTTTCTTCGGCTCCTCCCGCAACTTCAGATTCCGCTGCGTGGTAGCCAAGAAGATACAGAGCTGCGCTCCAAGCTGGAGTTCGATACACATGTTGAAGATGCTCAGTTCGTTGCCTCGTGGTTCGGAAAGCTTATGCTTCTTACTGTTATACGATCGACTGCCACTGGAATTACTTGTCCTGGACTCACGGTTCAGGAATATGAGTTTCTGACTTTGAATGGCAAGCAAGAGGCATGGGATCCATCTTCCGCCGAAGGACTCAATTTGACCCAAACCAAGATCACTGCTCTTGCTTTCTTATCCAGTGGTGCATTTACTGATGACGAGCGTTTCCTGCCGGCATTGTTTGCATCTGGCGATTCCAATTCGCGCATTTCAGGTGTTGGCGATGACTTGCTGAAACGATCAACAATGTCTTTAGAGGACTCAGGGACCATTGGGAATCTACTGAAAATCTACTTCACCTTGAAGCCGGCGCTTCAAACAAAGTTGCTTATTCTTCTGACTAAATCTGCTGTGTCAACGAAGTTTCCACGACAAATTGTCAAGATCGGTAGGTCTAATTTGACGCAAATGTGGAAAGAGTGGCTAGCTAACAATAGTTTAGTACAAGAAGCTATCACACCAGACGACAATACAAATCTTCCTGCAAAAGGGCTTGAGACGGTGAAGTTTCGGACTGCTCTTTTCCAATATATGAACTGGGTCTCTCGGATAGGCGCTGCCGATGACCTCGCTCAGATTTCACCACCTTTGGTTGATTTGATGCGGACCTATATCGAGGATCAAGGCTGGCCAGTTCCACACGAGAGATCGGCAGATGCTACCTCCTTACGGGCTCTAGCTTATGAAGCTCTGGGCTCGTTAGCCAAATCCACACCATCCACAGTGGTAGAAAAAGATCTGTCTCTGGTGAAGTGGCTCTTTCGATCCTTGACTGAGGAAGGATCCTCGGACACAATCTTCGTTAGCATTGAGGGTGCACTGGCTAGCTTGCTCAATGCATTTAATCCACCGTGTAAGAATATGGAACCAGAAATACAGGAGAGGGGAGATACTGACTACTGGCGTTTAGTGGATGAGGATTTGAGGAATGATTTGCGACTACTTCTCCTCAAATACATGACCTTAGAAGAAGGTGGCGCCGTCGTCAGGGGAGCTCGGTTTGCCACTGTGAGGTGGGCCAATCGATGCCTCGAGTACAACGACGTCGTCGGACGCTGGATTGACATACTTGCTCTTGGGGGTCGCACCGATGAGCGCAGCGATGTTATCGAGGAAGGCAGTAAGGGACTGGTAAGTCCAACAAGCACAGATCCAGTAGAATCCTACGAACTCATCTGACCTGTTTCCTTAGGATCCATACTGGTACCGACTTTTGAATTCGACAGCTGCGAGCTCGGATTGTCCTCTCCCCAATTGGAGTGATATGATAAAGAGTTTTTTCGCTTCTCGAAGTCTTATCGATAATTCAAGTGTGGCAAACAGTATGAAAACTGGCATGGACATTGATTCCGTCTCGGTCTTTGGCAATTTTTCGGGGTCGAGGATTAATGCTTTCCCATCTGCCGTTGAGTACTGCCGCAGAATGCTTCTCATGACTGCCTTGGAGCAATCAGAAATACCACTTGTTATTGATGCCGACTGGGAGCGTCAACTGGATGTCCTGTTTCGTTCTGATAAAAAGTCGCGGGAAACTATGAGGAGTCATATCAGATCTGTCGACCAGGAGGCGCTGTATATCTTTCTTAGTGCCTCTTTCGAAGGCATGCTCCGAAACGACGGTAACGGGCTCAAGGATTGTGGCAAGTCTTTCGTCGAAATTGCCTCTGTCGTACCGAGCAGAGTCATTGGGAGACTTTCTCCAAGAGCACTCGACCTTCTACCATCTATCAAGTCGAACAATGTCGCAACCCGCTTCTTGGCTGGCCAGGCTTTTGGTCTCCTCGCCTCGCACCCCGAGAATTCCGATAGGCTTGTTCACGAGTACATACAAACACTTCTGACAGAGATAAAGCTATGGTCGTCTGCTGTTGGCGCAGATGCTAACAAAGTTCATGGGTCGATCATTGCTCTCGGCTATATCTTTAGTCGATGTTCGTTCTATGGGCGAGCCAACTCTGCCACAAATGTTCATGTTCGGGAAGCTGTCGCTTTACTCTTTGAAGTTTTATCCAACGCTAAAGATGCCTCGACCAAGGAGGCCGCCCTTGACGCGATAAGCCAGATCAGTGCCTCTGGTATTTTGACTACTGAACAGCTTGGCAACTGTTCTATCAACTCCGTTGGAATTATTGAGCTGTTGACGACAGATTCCAAGAAAGGGAACGAGAAAGCAATATCAACTCTCGGTCGTTTGGCTACAGTATTCGAAGGCGAGGTGGAGGAGCAGGGGGGCAAGGAAGACCCATTGTCCTTAATTCTCACAAGCCTCTACGACTTATTCGAACTGAAGCAAGCCGAAATACATTTTACTGTTGGTGAAGCTATCAGCTGCCTTGGTGCTTGCTGGGAATCAGATGTCCTGCTTTTGAGTCTGGATGTTGACGCGACCTACAAAGGACGCTCGAAGAGACACCAAACCCTCGAAGCGATACTTCAAAAGCTCCTCCAGGACTGCAAGACACGCAAACCTTCCCTTAAGAAGGCATCCGGGATATGGTTGTTCAGTCTGATTCAAAACTGCGGACACTTAAGTGAGATTCAAGCTCGATTGCGAGAATGTCAAGCAGCATTTATGGGCCTTCTTTCTGCACGAGATGAACTCGTCCAAGAGACTGCGTCTCGCGGCTTGAGCCTGGTCTATGAGCAGGGAGATACTGAACTAAGGGAGAAGCTCGTGAAAGATTTGGTCGCATCTTTTACCGGCACTTCGGCTCAGCTGAAGGTCGACGATGACACCGAATTGTTTGAACCTGGTGCTCTGCCCACTGGGGAAGGAAATTCTGTAACATCGTACAAAGACATCATCTCTCTGGCCAACGAGGTCGGGGATCAAAGTCTGGTGTACAAGTTCATGTCGCTTGCGTCCAATGCCGCGACGTGGTCAACTCGTGCTGCTTTCGGCAGATTTGGATTGAGCAACATCCTGTCAGAGTCAGAGATCGACCCCAAGCTGTACCCCAAGCTGTACCGGTACCGATTCGACCCGAATCCAAATGTTCAACGGTCGATGAACGATATTTGGAGCGCCCTCGTGAAAGATTCGAGTGCGACAATCAACTTGTATTTTGAGGATATCCTGGCGGATCTACTTAAGAGTATATTGGGTAAAGAGTGGCGTACGAGACAGGCCAGCTGCGCGGCTATTGCAGATCTCGTTCAAGGTCGTGACTTCGAAAAATACGAGAAACACTTGTCGAGTATATGGCATGTCGCTTTCAAGGTCCTCGACGACATAAAAGGATCTGTTCGAGAAGCAGCCCTGAAACTGAGTACGGTACTGACGGGAATTCTCGTACGTCAAGTTGAAGCAGGAACAGATTCAAAACATGCTCAGGCTATGTTGAAGCAAGTTTTGCCGTTCCTTCTATCGGGACAAGGAATGGAGAGTTCTGCTAAGGAAGTTCGTCTGTACTCGACCCTCACAGTTCTCCGGCTCATCAAGCATGGTGGAAAAGCGCTTGTGCCCTTCATACCAAGTCTGGTAAGCTAAATTTACAGTTCCTGAGCTCATAGCTAATGCTAACTTTACAGATCGAACAACTACTGGGTCTGCTCAGTACAATGGAGACGGAAGGTGTTGATTACCTTTACCTTAGGGCCGCACAGTACAATCTGACCGAGGCAAAAATCGACAATGTAAGATCGGCCGCCGTCTCCCAGTCGCCATTGATGGAAGGCATTGAAAAGTGTCTTGATAACCTTAATGAAACAACTATGAAAGACCTGGCCTATCGCCTCGAAAATGCTATCAAGACATCCATCGGAATGCCTTCAAAGATAGGCTGCGCCGGCTTGCTCGTCAGTCTTGCAATGAGACACCCCTTCGTCTTTAGGCCCCATGCCGATACTTTCCTCAAGGTTGCAGAGAAAGCTGTTCTAGATAGAAACAATGCCGTCAGTGCTGCTTACGCCAGAGCAACGGGATATCTCTCCAGACTCGGATCTGATGAGAGTTTAGTGAGGCTGGCTGCTTATACGAAAGATCTCTACTTCAACGCAGAAGACGAGACTCGTCGGCAGGTCTCAGGAGAGATTGTCTATGCTGTCGCTAAGTTCGCCACAGATCGTTTCAATGCTGTGGCAGCGGACTTTTTGCCTTTCACCTTCTTCGCCAAACACGACCTCGATGAACATGTCAAGGAGCAGTTCGAGAAGACTTGGAGCGAGAACGTCGGAGGCTCTCGTGCCGTCGTTCTCTATTCAAAGGAGATCAACGAAATCGCTGTAGACAGACTTGAATCTCCAAAGTGGACAATCAAACACTCCGCAGCCCTGACGATTGCGGACGTTGTTGCTTCTTCTGGATCTGAAATCAGTGGTGCCAACGCTGCTACTCTATGGCCGGTTCTGGAAAAGGCTCTCGCACTCAAGACATTTGATGGGAAGGAAAAGGTACTCGAAGCATTCATCAAGTTCACCAAAGCTGGAAAGTCACTGTGGAGTGTAGAGCCCAGCATAGCCGCTCAGATGAAGAAGATCGCCCTCCGCGAAGCCAAGCGCAACAACGACAACTACCGACCCCATGCTTTTACCAGTCTTGGAGAGTACAGTGAATATCGGACGGATATTGACATGTTTGATGACGTCTACAAAGTCATCGCACCTATTCTCGAGGATTTCAACAACGAGGATAAGATGGATACCTCGGATGACAGTAAGGACAGCAAATCTCACGAGTCAGCAGCAACAACAGCTGGTATCTCCGCTCTTTTCCGAGCAGTCAATATCAACTCCCTGGACCCTTCCCCACTTACACATTTACCCGAGCTTTTGGAAGTCTCTAAAAAGGTTACAAACTCAACCAAAGTCACCGTGGCTACCAACCTAACCTTGTACGAGCGATCGAAGGTACTGTTTGACGGTCTCCGGAAGAGAACCCATACCCAGGGATCGAACCTTTACGACTTGGCTGTCAGTTTCTTCGCGATATTGAAATTAGGAAGTGGCTCGGGTGTTGAGACCATGAGGCTGAAGAGAGCTGAAGCAGCTGAGATGATTATTGGGTGTTTGATCGGCGGGGTCTTTGGGATGTTCAAGGATGGACAACAGGATTGCAAGTTGAAGATGAAGGAGGCAGTCGAGGAAGCAATGAAGAACGAGCGGTCTCCAGGAGTAAAGGCAGTCTTAGATAGATGTCTGAGAGCTTTGGAAATGTCTGACGTCTCGGATTAGACACATGTAAATACTAGTAGTAGTACGTAGATCGGGGGATAGGAAATAGTGTTTCGGGATATCCTCGGCTGAACAATTAAACTTCAAGCGGCGATGAGCTCCTTCGCGAAGCTTGTCATTCTGCATCTCAGGAAACTCGTCATCTATGACCCAAATGGCACATCCGCTCCCAAGATTGTTTACGCGGCGCTTCTGCCAACCCTCCACCTTTCCCAAGACCTTCAACTCTACCCCTCGAACCTTCCGAGCCTCGATTCGCAATTCACCGGCTAGACGCAGCTACGCTTCAGGAAATCCAAACTCGAGTCCCTTGAAGATCTGGCCCTTCGTCGGCATTATATTTGCTGGATCAGGAGCCTACGTGTTGATGGTCAAGAGCCGAGTCGGTACGTTGAGAACCTTTGCGAGCCAAAAAAAAAAAAAGAAAAGCAAAAGGGATACCTTAGACTAACAGCATGTTGTGTGTCTCTGCAGAAATGGCCGAATCAAATGCCCAAATCGCTGCCCCCAAGAAAGACACGCCCACCTTCTCCCCAGCCTCGGTCACCGTCATCTTCGTCCTCGGCGGGCCAGGCGCAGGAAAAGGCACGCAGTGCGCCAACCTCGTGCGCGACTACCACTTCACCCACCTCTCGGCCGGCGACCTCCTCCGCGCCGAGCAGGTGCGCGCGGGCTCCGAGTTCGGCGAGCTGATCCAGAGCTACATCAAGGAGGGCAAGATCGTGCCGATGGAGGTGACGGTGCAGCTGCTGGAGAACGCCATGCAGGAGGTGGTCAGCCGGAGCCCGGACGGCAAGGGCAAGTTCCTGATCGACGGCTTCCCGCGCCAGATGGACCAGGCGGTCAAGTTCGAGGAGGCCGTCTGCCCGGGCCGCTTCGTGCTCTTCTTCGACTGTCCCGAGGAGGAGATGCAGCGGCGGCTGCTGAAGCGGGGGGAGACGAGCGGCCGGTCGGATGATAATGCCGAGAGCATCAAGAAGCGGTTCAAGACTTTCGTCGAGACGAGCATGCCCGTCGTCGATTTCTTCAGGCAGAATAACCGGGTCATCCAAGTCGTGGCTACGAAGACGCCGGAGGAGGTGTATGCAGAAACGAAGAAGAAACTCGAAGAGAGGTTGGGAAAGGACTTTTAGGGCTGACGAATGTTTTCTTTCGGCTTTCCCTTGTATTTACTATATCTCAGCTCCTCGACGGGAAGAAGCATTGTTGTAAATTTTCCAGAAGCAAGAAAAGCCAGCACTCTACAATCTCTTTTCGGCGTCCCACGATAAGTTGATCCTCCCATCACTCAACTCAACTCCCGGTCCTCCCCCTCGTCTGCTTCCCTCCCAGGATGAGGACGGACTATGCCGGGTACTTATATTGTCTGAACTGCTGGTCGATACCTACCTTTGCAGAGTCTCGAGACAGTATAGAGGGCAGGCTCCTTCCTTCCCTCTGATAGTATAGACAGGCCGGCATCATCTCATATTTCTTCATCCTCTTCTCGGCTTTCCGGCATCTCCAACCTCCTCGGGCACAACTCCCTCTCCCTCGAGCCATCCATCGCTCTCAACCACGGTCCGCAAGGCCTACCCAAAATCGCAGTCTGCTACACCATCACCACCACCACCACTGCAGCAGGAGAGAAGTCCGACGGACACTGTCCGATCTATCGTAAGTCACTCACTCACCCAACTCAACTCATTCCTACGCCCTCGCAAAGTCCCGTCGGGATGTCCTCTACTCTCTGCTCTCCCCTCTCTCCTCTCTCCTCTCAAAAACCACTCCAACTCCCGCCCCTCCAACCCGCCTGCTAACAGACGACGTTCCAGACGCATATCCCGCCCGGGCCCGCCCGGCAAGAGCTCTTTTCCAGCCTAGCCTTGTTCCTATTATGAAGTAGTTCGTTCTTGACCGGGAACCATTCGGGAACCCAATGGACTTGGACGACGCGATTTGGTGATAGCGTTCGTCAGGAGCAAAGGTGCTGGGCTGGGTTTGGCAGTAGTCACGTCACATACGGAGACGGAAGAGTTGGAGGACGATACTTCGTATATCTATTCTCATTTAGCTTTTCCACCAAAGGCTTCTCTCTTACTCGGCAATGCAACAGTTTGGATCTCACAGAATGCGTGTGTGGTGATATATGATGTCTTAGAAAGAAGGTTTACTGTGTACCGTATTTCAGCTTCGCATAATAGCGTCGATTACTTTGCTCGTGAGGGTCCGGGTCGGGTGGTCAGGTTCTTGGCTACGAAGACTCCCGATGAGGTCTACAAGGAGACGCGGGAGCAGCTCAAGGAGAGACTGGGTAAGGTGTTATAGATCGGGTACTTGGAGGCATTCAGACGGCTGGGACACAAAGGAAGACGGGACTTAGTTGACTGCTGGACTGTAGCAAGCAATGCATGCTCAATACCATTTTATTATTTGGCTAGGATATCTCGTTACCCAGTACCTGGCTTCAGCCGTCGTTGAAATCATCCCGCATCGCGCCAGATGCCTATGCAACCCAGTGTACACAGATCTCTAGAACGCCGTCGCAGCAAAGAGACTTTTGGAGATCGAAAGTTGACCCGCTCAGTCGAAGAGAAGAAAACAAGATGCTGTCCCGTGTGCCTAATCAGTTCCCATCTCCACCATATTGTCACGGCCGTTGACTCGACGTCCAGAGCTCATGCCGGATGTACCAGCAACTCGTCTCTCAACCTCCTGCATCTCACGCTCCTTCTGGGCCTCAGAGGCTTGTCTCTCCCGGCTGATGATCTCCTTGATGGATTTCAATGTCTCCTTCCACTGATCGAGTCTCGTAGCAATCTCGCGCCATTGCTTCTCGCCGAAGACCCGGTAGGTAGTTCTGTGGACCATGAACATCTTCTTCTGTTGCGACAGCTTGCCCTCAACCAGACCAGCGCGGATCACATCAATCACCCACATCTCAACATCCTCGACGGGGATTTGCAAGGCCTTGGCGATGCGCTTGTACTCGAGCTCGCGACTGCTGGTGCTGGCTGCGACGCTGGCTAAAGTCAAGAGTCTCATCTTACGATGGAGCTTGCTGTTGTCGAGTCCTTCCTCCTCAATCCAGCCCTCGTGCTCGTCACGGAAATCATTGTAGTCCTCGAGCTCCTTCTCAGCGAAGATATTGAGGAGTTCGGAGTAGTTCGGGTGGGAATCGCTGAGAGCTTGGATGGCTGGGAGAGAAGTGAGGTCGTGGAAATCGAAGTGCTTATCGGAGAGGAGAGCAGCCTTGAGGGCGCGGAGGGAAATGGTTTGGGCTTCCTCTGAGGAGACATCGCCTTCTTCCTTGGGGTCGAAGGTGCGGAGGGCCTTGAGAACGTATTGATAGGATTGTCTGTAAAAGTTAGCATGACAAGCTTGTAGCCCCAGAAAAATTCCTAACTTACTGGTCTTCTCCAGAATCCTCTGCAATATCGGCGATCTGGCAGAATAACTTGCGCTGATCCTCCTCATCAAGATCCCACTCCCCCAGCCAGGTATCCAACTTCTCAGTCAACTGCGGGCGCAACATCTCGTACAGGCCGCTGGTCTTGACTAGGCGCAAGACAGCTTGGAAGACATTGAATCGGGCATCGTTCTCGGGTTGCAGGAGGTTGAAGATGGTGGAGAGGGTGGAGAGTGCCAGGCCGGTGCCGTGGACGGGGGAAGATGTGATGGGCTTCAAGAGGTTGTCGCACATGCGGGGGAGGAACATATTGACGTTCGGAGACTGAATGACAAGGTAGATCAGGAGGTTATAAGCAGCGATGAACTCCTTCTCGGGCGTGCTGTTGAGCGCAATCGATGCGGTTACGAGCTTCTTGAGCGCATCGTCCTTCTTGTTCTCGTCGAGGAGGGGTTGAATCTCGGTTCCGATCTTGAGATACTCGGCCATCTCTTTGGCAAGGTCCTGGAAGGTACCTTCAATGAAGATGTATTGGTTTGGGGTGGGGTTAGGGGCCGCCATGGTGGAGAGAATCTCAGAGACACGGTCGAGTTTGAATTGGATGGGATCAAACTCCTTTGCGTCGTGGTGACGGCGCGTAGTGAAAGCCATTTTTGGGGGTGTGCGCGCTAGCGGCCGATGGGTATTCTTCGGGTAAGTTTTGTTGACAGATTCCGAAGCGAGGCTTTGTGACGAGGGGGTTGTTGATGAAGGGATGTTCAAGGTTGAGAAGATAAACCGCGAATATTGGCTGCAGTTTCCAGCCTAGACTCTTTACAGGCTCGCTTGTTATTGCAGCTTTCGACTCTCGTTGTTTTCGACTGTCTTGCGTTTTTCGAATCGAAGAATTCTATGTATAGTAGCACCTACTACATCCCTAGGATGGATGGATGGCTGGGACATATGGACATCTCACCTTTCTAGAAAAGCCCTTAAACTTCCAACATCCTAGAAACTAAAAGATAGATATAAGAGGATGTCTCTATACTACTGGCACAATACAGACATCACCGTATGGATATAGCTAAATGCCAAGAAGGTTCACAATGAGAAGCTAGAGTCTTGCCTATCTTTGGATGCTGGGTTTTAGCTGTAAGCAATTCAACCAAGTAGTAGGTATACGGAATACTTAGAGCGGAGCATGCCCTATACTAACAATAGAATCTGATAATTTGCCGCGCAGAAGATTCTCGAAGTAATTTTCAAAAGCTACAGTCGTTAAAAGAGTCTCAGTTCCCACCCAACCATCAGGTGGAAGTACGACCACACCTCGGGCCTCGCGGCCGTGGCGAACCAAAATGACTCGATCCGGTGTCAAAGATTCCTTGAATTTAATATTTTGTAGTCGAATGCGATGCTCAAGCCAGAGGTAAAAGATGCAGCTTCCTCCATAGCAATATCCAGAACCTCAGTCGGATCTGCGTCTGGGTCATCCTGCCGGTGTAGAAGCAGCTGCATCGCCAAAAATCTCTAAATATTATTATCGTGGTTAATCAGCTTCTATGTATTCGGCAGTCGTTCGCTCTCGTAGGCCCTCGAAAGTGACGGAGATATAACTACACCAAGTATCAGGGAGTGCTTCCACCCTACGTTACAGGTGTCATGAAGCCCAGTATTCATCCCTTGTGCAGCACCGGAAGGTTAGGTACAACAAGCATCGCCAGCCAGAAATACACAGTCCTTGATCAACAAAGTCCTAGCGAACCGCAGTCCTACCGAGTAGATGGTCCACCAACCGACGTGCTTGAATTCCAAGTTGAATGGTCTGACGGACGCAATAGGTTCTGCAACAGCAGCCTCCTTGTTGAATTCAAGATAGGCCTTCCGACGCCCAGCTATGAAAGCTGGTCCAATCCGAGAAACTCCATGGTCCATCGCAGCCCACAAAACATTGCCATGTGTCGGTGATTCGAAGGCACCGTAGACTCTGTTTTTGGATATGTCCGTTTCGACGATACCTCCAGAGCTCGTCGAACGAACAACCTCCCTCCATCGACTCAAACCATGTACTTATATACGATCGTTTCTTCAATGCCGACCCCCCCCCCCGTGATTGGTTAAAGCTGTCATCAACCGTACTATTCAACTCGACGAGAGTCTCCAAGCCAACGCCAAGCTCCTTCAGTCCTCGTTGGAAGATCTCCTCCTGATACTTCTGCCCCAAGACTAGAGCAAATTTCCATGGCGTATCCTTCATATTCCACATAAAAGACCAAGCTTGTCCCAGGACTTCGACCAGATTAGCGTCATACGACACCGTTCCACGGCAAGCAAAACATTCCTGCGCGAGCTCGTCTGCCAGGCCAAGGGCATCGAGTAACTCGCTCGATCTAAGATACAGATTCATGGCTCTTCCATACTGATCCTGAGCAGACTTTGATTATCTTTTTCAATGATAACGATAGACTTGACATTGGCCAAATTTGGTTTATTGGAATTCAATGACCAGACCTAGATCCAACAGCCATCAATCTCTGGTCTGAAAAGGGGATAGAACGAGAAAGAACATAATGACTGGGCCATCTCCAGCAGGAAGGACGTCAACACGATAAAGCTGCGTCTCTACCCGTACTGGACCCGTCATTATAGCGGTAGGGAAGCAGAACTTGGCTGGGAGACAGTCCCCAAAAATCTTAACCATGTGCCAATAAGGCAAGCTGTCGGCTGCTCCCAGTCACTCGTTCCATCACTTGCGCTATACCGACTTTTAAAACACCGATTTTCAAACTGATTTGGAACATCAAAATTACGAGCAACGCTTATTAAATAAATTGTTTACAATTTATTACCAACGCTAAATATTTATCATAGCCATGTGAATAAAATTCACGATCTGATTCATCTTTAAACTTAACACGAATTGATGACAATTTTCGCTTAAAATATCGCTTTTTAATGTATCCCGTTAAATCTAAATACGTTAGAAAATCCTTTTACACTTATATCTACCGGTAGCTTGAATACGATCTGTTGATATACTTTAGCGGAAACAGTACATTTGGAGTACGTCGAGGAAGCATTTTATTGTATTCTTTGACTTTTACTTCTTAGCTTTTCTTCGTATAAACGCTAGGATTTGAAACCGTAAGCTTATCACGAGGCCAATATAACGGCTTCTTAGTTGACAGCTCTTCTCGATATTTCTTCCACCTTTTATACGCAATCTTTCGCTAGAAACTTATACTTTTAAGCCGCTTTCGACGATGTATCATTTCAGCTTTAATAGTTTTGGTTTCCCGTCTGAGCATTGAGAATAAGGTCTTGCAAAAATCCTTTTTATATTGCGCTTCGTTTTGCACCTTCGCTCTTACTACCTCGACGATTTATTTGATTGCAAAAAACCGGCCAAGCTTTTCTTTTGTTTTAGCTTCGCGTGCTCTTTTTCAGCTTCAGCGGCAATCTTGCGCGCTTTCTTAATGTCAGCTAGCGCTTTATCTTTGCTTAACTGGCGCGCTTCTTTTATAAAAATCGGTCGACTTTACTTGAGCGCGTAATTTGCTAGACTCGTCGCAAGTATTGCTTCGCTACCTATACCTAGCTTAAATAAAACTTTGGTTGGACGAATTGTCGATATGCTAAGAATTTAATAAGTGTTATAAGAATCTTACCTTTGATTAAATCTTCGAAGTAGCGATCGAACGCTTTATATTCTTGTAAATTAACTAGATAATAGCAATAACATAAAAAAAGAGCGCTTACGGCGTGGTATAGATAGATTAGATATAATAGAGTTGTATTTGCAAATTTAGGATTGCGACGGTGCTGTTAGGAGTAGCTTTACCCTTCCGTAATAAATTTTAGTAGCGGGGGTAAAAATTAACCCAGTTTGAAAGTCGGTGTGTTTTGAAAGTCGGTGTAGCCCACGCGATGGAACCAGTTAATGAGAGCAGCCGACAGCTTGCCTTTTTAGCGCACGGTTACCTTAAAGATACTCAATACTTTCAAACCCGAAAGAATGTTGAACTGAATACCGGTAGATCTGTCGGCCTTCACCCCGCGCTTAAGGGCGTGTCTGGTAAACTCTCCCAAGTCCGGTTTCGAAAGTGTTTTCGGTTTCTGATTGACCAAAGTCGTATCTGATAAAGGAGATAAGAAATTAAAACCTTTAATTGAAACCTCGAAACCTCAAAATCCCTCTCGAAGCTAGAAACTGCAAAAGAGCAGCTTTTATGTCTAGCGACCCACAATTTCCGTTTCAGGTCTCTATTAGCAATTTGGATTTACCTTCAAACCTCTCGTACGTAGCAACTTTGACCTCGTTCCAAAACCTCAACTTATGAGAAGCGAGGAGAAGTACGAAGTCCGTAAGTCTTTGATTTGCCCATTTTCTTAAAGTCACATCCTTTTATTCAAAATACCAAATCATGCTCGGGATACCTATTCCGTACTAAGGTAGAGAGTGGAGACGAACGATCCTCGGCATTGCGATTTAAATGGGCCCTCGAAACTGGACTAAAGAGAGTTACCAAACGCAATCGAAAATCAAACGCAACATCGATTTCTCGACGAAATCAACTTCAAGTTTTCAATCTCACGTTTTCATTTCGAGGATTTCATGCTCCCCAATTTATCAAACGCCAGCTAAGACAATCAACGCATCATTTAGGGACAAAACATTGACTGGTCTACCTAGCTTTCCTTTCCATGTCCCTTCACTTGACAAACAGAGAGGTACGCAAATCTCCATCTTGCCCTACAAGCGTGAGATCCGGCCAGGGATTTGGGCTTTTGGCTGAAAACAGCAGTTCCTCCGCAACAGCATCTACTTATGTATGTGCCCATGATGGGTGGCAAACCAGGAGCCACGCATCTCGCACCACCGAATATGGAGCCATATACAAACATTCTTCTATCGGTACTTACGTACACGAGAGTCGAGAGGATGGAAATCAAGCTCAAGCTCAGGTCATGCACGGCTCCCTCCCCTTCCCTCCACCCACGCGAGGACCACGGTTGCAGGTACCACGGGCAGAGCCCTCCGTGCCAAGTCGGTAAAAGATGCTATGGTAGCTATTGTTGTTGCTAAGCGAGCTAGCCATCGGACGAAAGATGGTTTGGTGTCCGCACCCGCCCTCTGCCGTACCTCGCAAACATCATGCATTGATAATCGGACCCCGGCAACATCCTCCACGCAGCATGACATATCCGAAGTAAACCGGCTTAACGAGTCATAGCAAGCCTTAGCCAGGTTCAGGATATAAAGGTCCCGAGAAATTAAATGTGTGAGAGCGTGGAGAAGATTGCAATGGTAGTGGTAAGTATGAGGTACAACTACGTCGCTATACTCGCGTTTTCCATATTTCTGAACCACCGAGATGCTGGGTCTGTCGAACATCAAGTGCGACTAAGACAGAGTAATACAGTAAGTAATGGAGCTGAGAACGAGGTTTAAAAAACGGTTTCGAGGGCCAAGCCTCCCGCGACTCGGACTTCTGGAAGAACCATCCGACCTTGATTCCTGGCATGATTACGGATACGATAAGTATAAGAGCGGTACCTTGCCTATTGCTGCAAAGGCTCTTCTTGTAAGAGATTTTTTTCAAAGTAAGAGAGTCAGTAAGCCAGTAATCACGATAAGTAATGTTTCCAAACCCACAAGCAGCGTGGTATCTTTCCCATCGTTGAAAGCAGCTGGTGGCATGCGACCTTAATATATTACAGTAGGAAGATCTGATCTTCGTACAGCGTTTTCTCAACGCGTTTAGCTATAAATAGTTGCAATACGCAAATCTCTGCTAAAACTGTGATATACACCTATCTGCCTTAAACTTCCACCAAGACACAAGATACAAGATACAAGAAAAAGATACCGTCAGAGCGAACGATCTACCTAGCTGACCTTGATCTTGAACCCAGCTCACAAGCTCGCTTCCAGCCCCCTAATTTTATTATGGCTGTATTAAGACATTTGCGTTTTCCTCGAAACAGACTTTGCACAACATCACCTGCGGTTCAAGATTGCCGAATCGAGCTTAGAGGTATACGATGTAGTAGACTTACGTAGCAAATGTGCTTCTCCACCACATGTACTAAGTACCAACTACCTACACTCCGCGCACTTGGAATAGCTTCCCTCTTCAGACCTTGCAACAACCACGAATATACAGAATACACAGAACGTATTCGCATGAGGTCTCAACACAGCGTGTACACGTGTACACACCTATGTGATGCCAACAGTACTATATAGGAATATATAGCTAAAAGCCTTTATCACTTTGATACTTACTAGTAAGATTACCTTCTCAGATTTAGAGTTCTGCTGCCTCCATTCAATGCCGGGGGAATAGAAAGCTATCTCCACGATTACCACCAGGTCTCCGACTCTCCCCCCAGAGTCTAGACTGACTAGAACCTTTCCACCTTGCGCATCTTCCTGAGCACAAGGTTCCGTCTGCTGGTCATTAAATGGAAGCATTGATACCTCGTCCATCCATCCGCTTCTCGTTCTCCTTCCTCCATGCTGTCTATCATGCCACGCATTGCTCTTCAGCTGTTCCTTGTTGCCCTAAGCCTGGGCTCCGCTGGCAGCGCCCGGGCCCAGTATTTAGGCGCGACAACCTTCGATTATATCGTGGTCGGCGGTGGCCCTTCCGGCCTCATCACATCACAACGTCTCACCGAGACGGGAAAGTCCGTTCTGTTGATTGAGCGCGGTGGCGCTTCCACGGCGTCGACCGGTGGCAGAAAATTCGTCCCTTGGAGTAAGAAGCTGACCTACTACGATGTGCCCGGCGTCTTCGAGTCCCTGCCTACAGGTACTGGAGGGGAAGCATACTGTGCCGATACGCCCGCGGTTGCGGGATGTGTTCTTGGAGGAGGTGGGTCAATTTCAACTGCTCTGTTCATGAGAATGTAGACTGATGTTTGACTTATCAAGGCGGGTCGGTCAATGGCATGGCTTTCATCCACCCTCCGACACAAGATTTTGATGATGGGTGGCCGAGTGGTTGGTAAGTACAAAAAAAAAAAAAAATAAAAAAAAAAAAAAAAAAAACAATAGCCTCGATCCCACGGCATCTTTAACAAAAAGCGGCTCTTGGGATCCCCTATTATGTCATGAAATTCTTAGACATTGAAGGAGTGTTGCCTGACGAGTTGAAATAGGAATTGGGATGATATAGAGCCTGCCGCTGAACGTCTATATAAGAGGAATCCCGGCACGACGATGCCTTCTCGTGACGGTCGGGCATACGACAATGGAGCCGCTGTTGTACTAACTCCTTGGTTGGAGGATAATGACTGGAGCTTTGTCGACGGGATCAAGGATCCCAATTCCAAAGAGAAATCTTTTGGCCCTACTCAGCTCAACGTAAGTGGATAGGGAGAATCTTCGCTAAGCCCATTTTGTTTTCGAATTTTTCGCCTCAGGCGACTGGCAAAACCTGTCACGTCTGAGAGCTATGCGCTCAACATAGAGGCAGAGAGGAGAGGACTTTTGGACGAGTAGGTACTGACGTTCAGAATAGATCGCGAATGGTCTTCGTTCCGGCCCGATCCACACCTATCTACCCCTGGCTCAAAAAGAATCAGGTTTCACCCTCAGGCTCAACGCGAAGGTGATTCGTGTAGTGCGTAAGGGCGGGACCATGACCGGTGTCGAGATAGAGGACGCGGAGGGTACCCAGATCGTCAAACTGAAGCCCGACGGCGCGGTCCTCCTGGCTGCCGGAGTCATGTCCACACCTCGAGTCTTGTTCAACTCGGGTATCGGTCCGATTGAGCAAATCAAGATTGTCAACGGAAGTGCGACTGGAGTTGATGTGCCGGAGACAGACTGGATCAACTTGCCCGTGGGACGCAACGTCAAGGACCACTCTCGCTACCAGTTGGAATTCAAAGTCCCCGGTGGCTTGAACGACAAGAGCCCAGAAGAGCTCCTCAATCCAACGGAGGAAGAGAAGCGCCAATTTGCAGACGGCTCGGGAGTGCTGACCCAGTCCTTCCAGCGACTTGACCTCTTCAGACAGCACACGACGTCAAACGACCGAGTAATCAGCTTCCACGCACACTGTAGCTCCAATGCAGACGACACTCTCCAGATCATGCTCATGATAACCCACGGGTTGACCTCGACGGGTACGCTAGGCATCGACAGCAATGGTAACACGGTGTTCACGAAACGGCCCTGGACCAACACGGACACTGATCGCGAGGCGTGGAGTCTCGCCATCAACGAAATACTTGAAATGTAGGTAGCTGGATTTCAATGTCGGGAGATATTTTGGAGATATTTTCCTTAGCCCTTCCTGTAGATGGGCACTTGCTGACGTGCCTGCTACGTTAGGTCTCGTCAACCAGGTAGCCCAATTGTCTACTCGGGGGACAGCGACGCGACCGCAGAGTCGGTCCTCAGTGCGGACGCACTCCCTGGCATCCACATAGTCGGTAGTGCCAAAATGGGCACCGATGACGGTCGGACCGGTGGCACGGCAGTTGTCGACCGTAAGTAATTGCAAAGTCTCTTTTTCCCTAATTCAGGACGTCTTACCCTGCTCCCGAAACTTTTCTTGTTCAGAACGCATGCTAACGCCCCGGGTCTCGTCTAGTCAACACCAAAGTCTATGGAACGAATAACCTGTATGTCGTTGATGCCTCCTTTCACCCGGACCTCTCGACTGGTAACAATCAGGCTATGGTCATGATTGCTGCCGAACACGCTGTTCAAAAAATCATTTCTTCGCGTAAAAGGTGAAAGCACCTCGTCGGCAACAGCCTAAGCGCTAGTTTTATTTGTAAATGTTTCAGACGTGTGGATCAGACGACTTCGAAAGTCTCTCGATAATGTAGATAACGCGTCTCAATAATTTCAAAATAATGTAAAATGATATCCCCTGCAGTCGAATACGTATCTGAGACTCACTTGTGCCCCACGTAGGAATTCTAGAAATCCTCGACGTTCCACTCGCCTTCCTTCCTGCTCCCTTTCAAGGAACTCACATTCCTCTTCAAAAACTGTCCATACCCCTTCTTGCCAACCAGTCCACCCTCGTCCTTAGCCCAGACCACCTCGCCTCTCAAGACTGTGTAGCGCGGCCATTGCTTCATCGTCCTTCCCTCATATGGTGTATGGTCAACGTTGTGATGCAAGTGAGCATTCGTGAGCTGGAACTCCTCCATTCCATCCGGGTACCAAATTGTCAAGTCCGCGTCGCTCTCGCCAGGGACGATGCCGCCCTTTCGCGGGTACAAACCGTAAAGCTTTGCGGCGTTGGTAGAAGTGACCTCCACAAACTTCTGAAGCTTCAGTCGCTTTGCGGACAACGCCAGCGAGAGGCGCGTCTTTCCAGCAGGTTAGCAATTATCGTGGCCCACAGTAGGGTTTTCGCTATACTCACCTCGACACCGGGGCATCCATTCGGAATGTACTTGAAGTGACCGTTGGGGTACTCAGCACTGATAACTGACTTCTTCCCATTTTCCGTATCCTCGTACAGGAACGGGCAGTGGTCTGACGACAACACAGTAAAGGTGCCATCTTCGAGTCCCTGCCAGATTCCTTCGTGATCCTGCTCTCCTTCCCTCGGCGGTGGGGAACAGACACATTTCGCCCCTTCGAATCCGGGCTTATCCAGATCCTTCCTCGTCAGGAAGAGATACTGCGGGCACGTCTCGGCATAGATCGGCAGCCCCCTTCTCTGCGCATCGGCAATGTGCTGAGCCGCCGCTGGACTGGAAACGTGCACAATGAGAATCGGTACATCGATGAAGTCACTCAGGCTAATCGCCCGATATGTGGCCTCGATCTCGGCCACGGGAGGATGGCTCGTGACGTGGTACTTTGGATCAAACAGTTTCTGGGCCTCCAGTTTCTTGATCGTCCAGTCGATGATGGCGCCGTTCTCGGCGTGGATCATGGTGACGAGCTTCTGCTTGCGAGCTTCGAAGAGCACATCCAGGATCTCGGAATCTTTAAGTTGGAGGGCCTCGTATGTCATGTAGATTTTGAGCGAGGAGATTCCGGCTTCTCTGAGAGCTGCGAATTCCGAGATGGCTTGCGGACCAGCATTGGAGCATATGAGGTGGAAGGAGTAGTCGCTGTAGCATTGGTCTCGTGCTCTGTCGTGGGTGCTTGCCAGCGCCGCGAGAAGGGATGGCTCTGTCTTCCGCTGAGGTGCGAAGGTGATCAGAGTAGTCGTACCGCCACAGACAGCTGATCTACTTCCTGCTTACAATCAGTCAAGAATCTTCAGCTTCGAACAGGTCGACCAACCACTCTCATAATTGTCTGCAGTTTGCCCTTTCCCGAACAACGCAGGCTCGGCTAGATGTCTACAGAATCCGGGATCAATCAATAAGTGATTCGGATGTGAGAAGGCGTTCCAAGTACACACACGTGAGCATCAACTCCGCCTGGCTTCACGAAAAGATTAGCAGAATTCCTCTAGGAACACAATTGATACTTGCCATAACCATCCCCCCTTCCGCGTCAATGCTCTTCTTCGCCGTCACACCTTCCAGACCTCCCCTCGTAACCACTTTCGCAATCTTCCCACCTTGGACAGCAATATCAAACTCCCCCGTCGCCTCGGCCGTCACCACCAATCCGTTCAATACTAGCAGATCATATTCAGCCATCCTTAATCTCGATCAGCGATACCATAGAAAAGCCTCCTCAACGTGATCTTTCAAATGCCCAAGGGCGTGGGTGTATCGTCACACACACACAGAGAGAGTCTATCCGGAGTACCCACCACAGTTCGACCTCCCCACCCTTGAAATCAACCGACCACCCGCCTACGCTCCCTTTCGCCCAACCAAAACATGGAAATCTGGATGCCGCCGCATGCAGTCATCCATATCGATTGGACAATTCAGCACCACCGCTATCTAGAAACAATATCGGCAAGGATCTGAAATGGCTTGCATAGATAGATAAAGGGACCGCTTGCATGCAAGCGACCAACAGCCATGAGACCAGAGCACCAACGTTCCTCGGGAACTCCAAATCGCTGGAGATCAGTCAAACACCAACCCACGTAAGAGAAGGACCAAAATCGCTCAATCAATATTTCCATCAAGAAAGAAAAAAAAAAAAACACTCACATATATCACTTCGACATATCTGATTCAAACAGAGTTCAGAGTCCAAACCAAAATCGAGCATCCCCAGCTTCTTCCCCAGTGGGTTCCTACCCCAGAGGAATGTGCATACCGAGTAGAAAGTTACCGTACGTAGCCTGCAGGTTGAAATAAAAAACAACAACAACATAGAACCAAACTACCACCAACACCGGATGAATCATCCAAGACTCATCTATCTACCTGACCGGACGTCCCATGCAGGACATAAAGGGTTCGAGAGACGCATTGCAAGAGTATTTAGACCGACTGTGTGAACGTGTGAACGTTTCTGGCTCTGACAAGGACAAATGGCGTAGAAGAAAAAGTGACATGAGGTTGGAAGCAAACGAAGAAAATTAACAGAGATTCGTTTTTAAGCGAGTGTTTACAATTCCGTGAAAGTGACGCGAGATCACAAAACACGAATAAGAATGGCATGGCAGAAATGCTACCCTCGTCTCTGTAGGGATGCCAGCAACCCGGGCTTTATATACAGTAGTACACATAAACATACATCAATCATACAAGCTCTTGCGCGTGAGACCTACTTCCTATTGCTCTGCTGCTAGCGCTAATTTTTTGGCAGCAATCTCAGCCTCTGACTCCAAGGACTTGAGTGCCTTGAACACTATGGTCGTCGTATAAGTATTGATGTCGTCGATCTCCACCTCGAATCGATCGCCAATTTCGATATCCTCTGCGCTGGCCCAAGAAGGAATGCGCATATTTCCACCAATCATCATTTTAGTGACAACCCCTCCGGCCGTATTCGTGTCAGGATTGACACTCCGCACCGTGAATTCCAAAGGCCTTGGCAATTCAAATTCGCCAAACTTCCAGGCCCGGAGAACCAGCTGAATCGCCCAGATTCGATTAGCGGTTACTTTGGATCTGCCTATCTGCCTTTCTCGAGCTGCGATTCGTGGCAGAATCTCATCCAGTCGAGCCTTGGATAACGCAAGGTAGTGGTGCGAGGTAGACCCGACGAGACTTTGGCCCGTCCTGGCCTCTTCTAACAAGGCCGATTCGATCTGGAAGTGAGCGAGCATATCACAGTATCTACGCATGGGACTGGTAACTTTCGCGAATGCTTCCATGCCAAGTGCTGCGTGAGGTCCTGGAACGGTGGAAGGTTGGACTTTGCCAATGGTGGAAAAGTAGTTCATCATAGTGTCGATGGGTATTGGTTTTGCAGCATGCTTGATGTTCTTTAGGAAAAATTCGTAGGGATGTTGCTTATCTGGGTTGAGAGGGGTAATGCGGTAGGGGATTGGAATATTCCTCTCCTTACACCACGTCGCTGCGACTTCTCCAGCAAGCAACATCAGAATTCCAACAGCGTTTATGGCCCTCTCCTCAAGAACCTTGTCGTCGGCTGTCTTCGCTACTGCGAGACGGATTGTTGGATCACCGAAATATTGATGGCTGTGAGAAGGAGATTTTGGCTTCGCCCACGGAAAGCCATCGAAAGAGACAGATATATCAGTTTCTCTCACTCCGGCAGTAATAGCACCCTTTGACTCCATGAGGCTTGCCCGAGCTCCTGTGATCGTGTGGATGATCTTCATCTGCTCCCTTTCCGCCTCGGAGAACTGGTCACTCGTCTTGAGGAGACGAGAAACTGTCTTGGTATCAATGTGATTCCCTACAACGAAATTATCTTTTGCGATGTGAACATCAGCGCACGAGGCAATATCCTGAAAAGTTGCTGGTGTCAAATACTGAACATTTCTGAGAATACCAGGCTGGATTTTGCTTTCGAGCAATTCCCCTTGCAAGTTCATCTTGGCACTGAAGGTCAAGCAACGCATGTCTGGCGCAAGACTCACATTCGCGTGAGCCCAGTCCGGCACCAACATAGGAATCATCCTATCTGGCAGATAGATTGTTTCAGCCAGAGATTCGGCAAATTGCGCAACCTTTCCTGCTGGATCAAGGAGTGCTGCCGGATCTGCAGAGTGTACATGAACCCAATACTCATTTGGATTATCAGTGGACTCCAAAGAGAAACCGTCGTCAATTTCGTGAGCGGCCTCATCATCTACACAGAAAACCGGGGTGTCTAACCAATCTTTTCGCAAAGCCTTCAATTTATCTGGCACAACACCTCCAGCCATACGACTAATTCGTGGGTGGAGGCGATGCTCAATTGCATCCTGTCGGCCGGTATATGGCAGTCTGAGGTCGAAGCCGGCCGTAGTCTCCCAAGGCGCCAAAGCACCCAACTCTTGCAAACAAGTCCATCCGGTAGTTCTATCCAGAGAGACGTTTTCGTATCTGTCGATGGCCCGTAAAATCGCAGAGCCCACTCCATTCAGCGTTGAGTGTGTACTAAAACTTCCCAAGCATGCCCAAGATTCCAAGAACCGGATGAAGTAGAGATCATTAGCGGTGAAAGCTTCTCCCGGGACTCCAGCTCTGAAACGCTCTCCAGGCTCCACGGTTCGGAGGGATGGTCCTATCATACCGTGACTAGTAAATTGACGATTGTTTCGACTGATGTCGATGAGTTTCCGGGCATGATTGGCAAAAAGTACGACTTCAGAAGCAGCTAGCTTCGTTTCGGACGCGTGGTTGGACAACTTTATCTCAACATACTTGCGAACCCAACTTACGACTCGCCGAATAGCATCAACCTCACTGGAGCCATTGATCTCATATTGAACATTCGTCCTCTGATAAGACCCGTGTGGCAATGCTCGGAAACCAATGTCGTCCTTCAGGAGGGTACGGTGGACAGCGTATAAGACCGCCCATGGATACTTGCCATCGTCCTGTCTATTGATGGTATTTCCGAGTACCTTTGTGGCGATTTCGTCAAGCGAGGCGTACCGGAATTTAAAAATGTCCGCAACGGTCTTGTGCGCGTTGTCCAGCTGTTGGGCATGCGATTGAAAAGTAGCGTCGGCCTGGTTCCAGAAATTTGTCATCTTCAAAATGAGAGGCTTTCCTATCTCTAGGGCTACAGAGTCCTGGAAACTTTGAAGTCTCCCTTCCAATGATGTATCAACCTCTCCATCAGGGAGGTATGGCCGAATTGCGTCGAGCTCTTTAGGTTCCACAAAGCCAGGGACGAAGAATTTGACCGAATTGTTCGTTCTGTGAAGCCAACGTCCAGTCATAGTGTAAAATTGGGTTTGCATTCCCAGATCGCGCACGAATATAGCCAGTTCTTGTCTTCGATTGCCGAGAGATCTTTTACAGTCAGGATCTCATCTAAATCACAGCAGGAATAATGGACGTACGAAAGTTCAACTAGATCCCCAGGCAACAAGAATCCTCGAGAGTCCCCCACATCTACAAGGTCAAATCTTTCGAAGTTCGATTCTCTGTAATCGTCTAGTCCATCGGTCTCTGATACCTCCTGAAACTCGACATAGTTTGGATGAATGACACGATTGACGGTATGACCCGGTTCCGGTACATCAGAGTTGACGTCTACTGGCTTGTATGCGTTGGCGTTATCAATCTCCCACTGTCGAAGACGTTCGCGGATGCTTGGGAGGTCAGGACGCGGAAGAGGTGGCGGTTCATGAGGCGGCAGTGAATTCGAGTCCCATAGAGGCTGGGCTTCTAATGATGTACGACACTATAGCCATTGTTAACGACTGCCTTTGGACTCTCCCACTGCAAGACTTACAGCGCGGCCAGGAACGAACCGTCTTCTGATCTCTGCAGTACTTCGATCCTTGAGAATTCTACTTGTCACAGGCCTCCGCGAGTCCTTGCTGGACGATCTGTGCCGATATCTTACGGCACATCTCAGACAGACCAACGGCTGAGAAGCCTGTCTTCGAACCTGAAAAGGACGCAGCATGATTGGCGATAGAATGCAGCGAAGGACCTTCACCAACACTGCTCTATCTCTATCTCTAAACCTATCCCCCAAAAAAACTAGGGTGGACGCGAAGGGGCGTGACTTTATGGCCCGTGCTTCGATTGTACCCTCGGGCACTTTTCCTTCTCGAGACAAATCGTATTTCCAACTCTTCTGGAGATTCCTCCCAGACAGGAATACATCAATTATTTAAATCTTCAACTTCTGGTATGTTGCGACCTTTTCTAAATCTTCAATCTTCTCCCCTCGTATGATGAACAAAAATAGCATGTATTACCTGAATCAGCCAGTTTACTGGCCTCGATATGTGGTCAATATCACCAAGATCTCTGACTCTGCTTCACGCCTCTAAGCTTCAATCGCACACCCTCTGAGCTTCACACGCTGACACAGAAAACCCGTTATTTAGTATCAGTATCGTCGGACCACTCGCCATGTCGTCTTCAAAGGTGCCAACAGGCCACTTCAAGATCCTCTACTTCGCATCCGCAAGCTCCTACACTTTGAAAGATTCTGAAGTTCTGCCTGCCCCACTCCCGATTGCGAAGTTGTTCGATACACTTGATGAGCGGTATAGGGGCATGAAGGGTAAGGTCCTTGAGAGCTGTCTGGTGACGGTCAATCTGGAATACGTCGATGTTCCGGAAGTCGCACATGTGGAAACGGCGAGCGATTATATTATTTGTGAGGGTGACGAGGTCGCCATCATCCCTCCCGTGAGCTCTGGGTGAAATTTGTTGGGATCCAAGATACAATCTCTATACGCACACACAATCACTTCGGCTGCTATGAGGATTCGGGATCTGCAAAGGCACTGAAGGGATTACTGGCTGTACATATGCCGGCCAGCCATGTGAAGTCACAACGGGTCCTGGTCCCATGTACAATACGCCGAGGGGAGCTAGAAACGCAATCCCCATAGCCCTTGACTCAAATCCCTCCTATCGCTCCCGATCCAACAATGGTCTTTGCTCATCCTCATCCTCCTCACTCGACCTTCCCTTCCTCCACCAAATCCGCCACCACTCCCCTCCTGCCTCTCTACCCCTCCTCGCCCAGCAAGCCCTCACCCACCGACCCCCAAACCAGGCGCCCAATGTCAGCCCCAATAAAGCAAGCGTCGCAACCACACTCACAGCACCCGTCACCGCCGTGAGGGTCGAAATATGGCATCCAAACGTTCCACTCCGCAACTCCCACCGCTCCTCCCACAAGGGGCAGATATTCGGGCGCGAGAACGGGGCCAGGAGTTGCAGGCGTGACGGGTTGGGGATGCAAGTCCCGGACTACGTACCAAAATATCTATGTCAGTCCAGATCACATCACATAACATCAAATTGAACCACCCAGCCTCATCTCATCCCTTAGGACGGAGAACATCCCGTCGGAGCTGTGACAAGTGGAAAATTGATACAGTGCAGTGATCCAACGGAAGCAAGTATGAAGGTAGTCAGTCACACGCATGGCTTACAGCAGGACACCAGCTACACGGCGCGTCCACCCGCTCCAAGCACCCACCGCAACCCTGCTGCCTCCAGCAAATCCTCAACCACTCCCCGTACGTGTCGTTACCACCGTCGTCGCCGTATCGGTCGCTATGAGGATCAATCATCGTGTCTGCTGCACAGGTTGCACGATGATCAGGTGATGGATAGATGGATAGATAGATGGAGAGAGAGAGATAAATAGATAGAGAGAGAGAGACATATATAGGTAGCTGGATAGATAGATGCTTATCTTGATAGCCTTCCGGAACTGTTTGTATGTAGAATGGTGAGTGATATCAGGCAACCTAAAGAGAAAGAAAGAAGCTTGAGCTCGCAGGCGCAGGCGCAGGCCTAGGCTCAAGCTATTATAGACACCGTAATAGATAGCCTGAACTTGTCGAGGCGAGTGCCTTTGCAGAAATCATCCATGGTCCAAGAGAGGGTCTAGTGCATAAGATCACTCACTAGTACGCAGCCTAAAATGGAGGACCATTCGGGCCAAGTCTCACACCATAGAATGTTGGGCTATCAACAGATCAACGGTTCATTAAAAAGAGAAAAGTCTAGTACAAGAATGCATGCTCCTTTCCGTGTAAAAGCAAGCGCAGGTTCGCAGTTGTGCTCACCACCCACCCGGGCCCATTCCATTAATAACACTAGCAAATAGGAAAGTGAACCCACCCCTCGTCAACAACCAGTACTCTAATGCTCCAAAAGTCTCAGCGAGCCTTGTACAACAACGTTCTCGAGGATGGATCCGGGAGGGATATCAATGGTGCTGCCCTCAGTCGCGACAATGATGACGGTACCCTTGAGAGTGACGCCACGTCCGAGGTTGACAGCTCCGGTGATAGTCAAGTGGTCAAGCTCGATGATCTTGGGGATGCTGCCGATGCGCTTCTGGAAGTCGGAAACCTTCTTGAAATCGTTGCCGAGCTTGATCAGGGGAGCTGGGCCGAAACGGTTGGGGTCGATTTGGAGTTGACCGTGCTTCAGCGAGTACAGGTCAGATTTGACAAGCATCAGATCAGAGCAAGTCTTGACGGGCAAGAAACGTCTTCTAGGAACGTTGACACCGTGCGCGTTCTTGAAGTGACGGATGGCAGCTCCGACGGCGGTTTCAAGTTGGACGATCGAGATGTCGGATTCGCCCTTCTTGTCTGCTGGGATGGTCTTGCTGTTAGGGATGATCTCCATCTCCAGCGCATTGTTCTCGACAATCCGCTTAACAGCCTTGAGGTTCAGCCAGATGTTATTGGTGTTGAAGTACTTGAACTTCTTGATCGACTTGAACTCGTTGGTATGCTCCTTGGGAACTTGCGCGATTTCAAGAAGACGAACTGATCCCTCGTAATCGATGATGGTTCCACCCTTCACGTCGGCCTTGGTCTTGTCGGTCAGTTCCATAATATACTCAGCATCGGTCTGGACCATGTGCTGCAGGATTCTGAGGTCAACAACAGCACCCAAGTTGTCAACGTTGGAAAGGAAGAGAATCTCGACGCCACGGGCAATCAGCTTGTCAAGGATGCCAGAATTGTAGAGTGACTCAAACACATCTCCGTGCCCAGGTGGGTACCAGTCGGAGATTTGCGAGTTGTATGATTTTGGTGCTGGGAGGAGAGAATCCTTCAAGATTCTGGGGTATCGGGACTGGTTGAAGGTCATGATGTCAATGTTGTGGCCCTCGTATTTCTTGATGATGTTCTGGGTGTCATCGTCGGTGTTGAACGAGTTCATGAGGACGAATGGAACGTTGACATCGTATGTACGGTTGAGGTATTCGATCTGTCGGACGGAGAGATCGAGGAACGACATGCCGTCACGGACTTCGATGACAGACTTTGGACCAACGCATCCCATAGAGGTACCAAGACCACCGTTGAGCTTGAGGACTGCTAACTTGCTCAAAAAACCGACGGATTCGGAGTTGGCCAGCTCATTATAGTCAACAACTTGGTTTTGCGCAGGGGGTGCAATATGGTCCCAATCCCTATCTCGGAATTAGTCCATGTTGTCGCAATGATTCAGTTGTATCCTACAGTTGGTTTCCCTTCGCCTTGTCGTTGAGGTATCTTCTGAAGAGGGCAAAGAAGTTGTCCATCTCAGTCTCGAAGAGCTGTAACATATTAGCTGGGCACCTAATCCACCAGGAAAGCTGATCCGTACCTTCTTCTCGGTGGGATCTGTGACGGTGTCTGCGAGGTTGTTGAGAGCATTACGCATTTGGCTCGCAGCTACAGATGTGGATGTGTTCTCGAATGCCTGTTCGTCCTGGGTCAGCATGGCTATGGAATGGCCGTCTGAAGAAACGGAATCCCGGGGAATGAAAGAGGCCGGCAGACTGCTAGAAGCAGCATCAGACAGCGGAGAAGACTGGATTGCGGAGTATTTAGAGGTAGAGGGGCCTCTGGGTCGCAATGCAGGGTGGATATCAGGAATCCCCGTTTTGCATGCAGGCGAGATAATCGTCCCTGGCTTGAAAGGACGAGGTTGGTAGTGCAGGTTTTGTCGACTCCCAGGATAGGCAGGACATGCGTGGATACAGATTCCAGGGAGGTACAAGCAATGCTTGTTCCCCTTCAGGTCCCAATTTGCCCAGGGGCTCTCTGGCTTGCCCTCCTTGTCTCCGTGCTCTCTCATTGTGATGTCGTTGCATGCAAAGACAAAAGGTGTCTGTTCTGCGATGTCGAGGTTGCGAGGTCGAGGTCGAGAAAGATATTCGAGCGGGAAGCTGTGTTGAAATTCACTCTCTCGGCAAATTACTCTTCAGGAGTTCACCTTTGCGTGCACGCCATCCCCGAGGCTCCATGGAGGCTAGCCCGTCGGCTAGAGAGAAATATATCCGGATGATGCTGGCCAAAGTAAAGAAATGCACAAAACTCACCATGTGGGATTGAGTCTTGCCATGGTGCTTTCGGACAAACTCAGCAGCTTCACCATCGCCAGGCTTCAGGTGGCTTGACAGAACGCTCTTCAAAGCAGAAGCCATGTTGTATAGATTATTTGAGGACGGTGAAATATGAGGAGTGCAGGATGAGTCTAGAAGAACGGAACTTCGTTGCAGATGGAGGGTTGTTGGGGAGGAAGCGGATTGTTTTTTCTATGGGGGGGGGAAACTTTATCAGCGACTGCAGCTTGACGTAATGAGGGGGGGGGATGGCGAGATGATTAGCATGGAGGGAGTGAACGTACAGAGAGGACAGCAAACTCTAGAAAGGGACGATGCGATGGGATTTTCAGTATTTATGTGCTGTAGGAGAAGGTAGGTATGAGGTTGGGTAGGAGTGGGTAAGTACGGTAGGGGTAGGGTAGCTAGCTATGTAGCCTAGCTTCATCCTTGAGATCCATCCCATCTACCCACTGCCCATCCATCCCGTCCTGTTAGTCTCAACCACTTCCAGGCAGGGGTGGTAAAATCAGTATCAATCTCGACTACGCCGTACTACTCGGCTTATCAGAAGTCGTATCGGGAAGCCTCCAGACCCAGACCCAGACCCAGACCCAGAGTTACTTATCGACTATTTACTACGGTAGTGTTGACCTGGAAAAAAAAAAAAAAAGGAAGCTGCCCGGGTGGCCACAGCTGATTTCTGCCCGGAACGACCCGCCTAGCAGTAGAGTCCGCACCCACCAGGAACCCGAGACAAGCGAAGGATGTTGCACCGTACCGTTCAATGACCACTAGAAAGGGCAACAAGAGCAGGAACTAGAAATATATAGTCATTCACACAACAAAAGACAGCAAAACCCAACCTGCTCCACGCATCTGTTATCTCTTACCCCCATGTACAGCCACCATATCGGATCGCAACAGAAGCGTATTGTTTATGATCCCAGCCCTCTCTACACTCATGGAAGTATCTCCGAGAGCGAGCCACCGGTACACAAAGTCTTCTTCTTCTCCTCCGGACGCCAAAACGATACGCCACACCAATTTTAACCTTTTTTTTCCCCCTTTTCGTGTACGCAATATTCCGAGTGCGTTGATACCACGCGACGGGAGATTCTCGAGACCCGAGCGAGCGATGGCATCTAACAGGATCCTAATTTGGCTCTTGCCACCACAGAACCGGCTCTATCGCCCCGGACCGCAGAGTTTGGCGACCATTTGCTCGGCCCCCCAAAACCAAAATCCTCAAGCAAGTACCGGATTCCGACGATCAAAAGAGCTCGTCTCGCGGCTCGCTTGTTGGACAAGGAGACGACGGATGTAGTACCCGTACCTCTCTCTACTCCGTATCTCGAGACATTCCGATAGCGCCCGCCTCTCTCTCTCCCATCAGCCCACTAAACCGCAGCCGTCGCCAACAAACACGAAAAACGGCCAGGCAGAGAAAAAAGCGTTGGCCGTGAAACTGAAGCAGAAACCTCTCACCCTCAAGCAGGAAACCCACCAAAGGCCCTCTCCCAAAATCCGGGCCTCCTGTCTGCTCTCCAGCCAACCCCCCTTGGTCGCAACCCTGCCCATTTTCGTCAAACCCCTCGTCTCAGGACTAACCCAAACAGAGCGGTTTCCATATTCCAAATACTTTTTTTTATAACATCCAACACAAAAGCATGCCAAAGAGTCAGCTAAGCTATTTATCTAGAAACTCTAACGCCGGGCCTCGATCCCTGACAAACACTAAAGAAAGACTAGCCTTTATACTTTGCTGGAGCCAAAGAGAAAGATATGCGTCGAGGGCGAGAAATTCACTGGTTGGACAGCAGGTGTATGTAGCCAGGCCAGGAGGAGGTGGTCTGGGGTTTTAGATGAATATGATAGTGTGTGTGTGTGTGTGTCTGTGTTTGAGTGTGTACTGTGCGTGGGACGTTCAATTGCTTAAATTTTGAGTCTATTCTTTCCCTCTCTTGTGCCGGGGCTTTGAAATAGGAAGAGAAAAGGCCATGGTATCGAGCGACCGAGCGAGCGCAATATGTAGAAAACCCTAAATAGTAATCAATGCCCAATGCCTACTTCCCAAATCACAACGCCGTAGGAGACAGAAATAAGACACCTGAGATCCAGAAACATAGAATCCGCAAAATCCCCAAGGATCGGCTCAACCTAATCCACCCGAACTCCATATCGCAACTCGTGATTCCCGATACACGGACACAGGAATTTAGTGAGGTGGCCGAGTTTAGTATCCCGCTCCGTGCTGATGCACCGGGCACTGCCCGGGATGATGCACAAACCAGTCGCGGATACAATGCAAGTGGAAGCGGCAGAAACACTCTAGTCTTCCCATCTTATCGCCGACTTGGTACTCCTCCATGCAGATCGTGCACTCGGCGTCGTCCACGCAATCTTTCTCGCTTGCGACGTAGGGAAAGCATCCACTTCTCCTCATCGGGGGCGTGTGTGAGGACTGAGCGGCTTGGATAACTGCCGCATGGGCGCTTTCACGGGCTACCATACGGCCTTCGGGTGTGTTGGCTGTTGGTATTTGAACGGGTGGTGTGCGTGAGCTGGAGGCGGCAGGGTATGGCTGAGTACTGGTATTGGTCGAAGCTTCGAGGACGCAGTTCATGACGTGGTTTTGGCGAGCAGTTTCCCAGTTCGGGAGTGACTTGGAGGGAAGCTCTTTGTGACAGACCCAGCATTCGTCTTCTTCATTGAGAGGGGGGCGAGCCTCGGGCGTTGGGCGTGGGAGTGGAGCTCGTGGCTGTCTGGAGCCGCCGCCTGTTCCCGAGTGGCCTGTTTGTGAAGTGGGATAATTCTGAGTTCTGTTAGTAGGGGTATCCGTGTTCCGGCTAAAATCTCCGTGAGGCAGGAAGTTCGTCAGAAGGTTGACTTTTTGTAGAAAACAACGGACTGCATTTACCATAGTGAAAGTATCGCGATTAGTCCCAACCTGGGAGATATTAGTGTTGTTGTACCTCGGACGCTTCCAGAAAACATACTGTATTGCTTCGAGACCGATTGTGCAACTCTTCAGATCTCACCAATCGGCTGTGATTGCCCTCCGTGTAAGACGATCTACTTTGATCGAAAAGACTCGAGTTACTTGGCTGTCGTGGTCTTCTGGGAAAAGTAGACGGAAGCGTTGGAATCTGAGTTGATTGTATCGACGGTGAATTTGTGGAAGTTGCGGTGTTGCCCTCAGAATGACTATGGCCTTGATGCGAGGGCCGTCGTCGGTTGTCCGCAACTTGAGGGGGAGCCACGTTCGGATCCGGTACACATGGATTGCAGAGCCGTACACGCTCTCCTCCCCCGAGGTTCTCAACGGCGGTAAAGCTTCCAACGCGGCCAGCATCGAGTGCCGGTCGGGGATATTTTGTAGGAGATGTCGCTTCTGACGGAGGTTGCACAATGAATTGGTGTGGAATCGTGATTCGATGCGGCGAACAGCTCCCACAAACCACTCGACCACATTTCCTGCATCAGTCAGAACAACTCGTCAACTGTCCACGGTGTGCACTGACCTGCAATGATGTTTCCTCACAAAGAAGCCTATTATTTCGATCAGTCCCTGGATTCGCCAAGGAGGAGGAAGAGTTTGTAGAATACTTACTAAACTGTGTTCTGCAAATAGGGCACAGCGTTACTTCAGCATCTGGCTGCCATCTAGGTACAAGGACTTGCGACTGCTCGGTACTATTTGCTCGCCCGGCAAGCCGCGGTCTCCTTCGGTAACGAATAGATGTACGAGATAGCAAAGGCGTATCTCCAGGCGAGTCCGATCCAGAAGAACCTCCATGGGGCCTAGTCTCGATATCTACATCTCTAATCGGTGTTGTGGCTTGGGAGTGACTGTCCTCTTGAGCCTGGTAGGCCGGTGGGTTACTTGCAGCTCCTATGGGTACATTTGATTCTGTCACTGAGTTACCGCCAGAGCTTCTCTGATTTTGAGAACTGGCAGGCTGAAATGATCCTTCATCCAGAGAAGCAGCTGCAGCCGTCGACGTTCCACTTCCAGCCGCCGAGGCAGAATTTGCCCGAGACTTAACAATGGAATTTCCTGCAGCATGGCTGGATATTTCCTCCTTACTTCCTCCGTGTTCTCGGTCTTCTCGGTTGCTTAGTGACCTCGCTGTGTTATCTGGAATGTCCACGGCAGCAGAAACTTCCAGTTCCTCTATGGGAAGCGGCGGAAGAGGGCGCTCTCTTGTGCTGGCAACAGTTGCCGAGACTCTGGCAGAGTTCATTGTGGGATCCACGGGTATATGGCATGAACTGCCCCGCGAGTATTATGCAAAATATCCTGATGGTGACCTCTTGGTATTCCACGGACCCAGTCCAGATTCAAATCACAGCGGGCACCCAGCTGTGGCTCCGATCGACCTCACACTGTGTTTCGGTTCTGGTATCTGCTGCTCTTGAACCAGCAAGTATTTGGTGTCCGAAAATTAGGCCACTACCCTATGCGGCGAGGGTTGAATGTGGAGGGGGCAGAATTGTAGCCTGTGGTATGTTTGGCGACGCGGTCGCGAGTTGTTACGAGTCTCCTTCCAGTGAAGGGCGGCCGGCTCCAGTTCTTTGGCAGCCGGTTCATACCGAAAGCCGTCAGATCTGATTTTCCCAAAGTATATAATACGTAGCAGACCTACTGGAACAAGTCCCAAGGCTCCTCCACGCAGTCCTTGTGTATCTCATTCGATCGCGACAACGGCGTGTCAGTGCCTTTTCGCACATGCGAAAGTACTGTGGACTCCCGAGCAGGTTGAAATCTTGTAAATATCTGTGGATCCAGAAGATTGTAAGAGGCGAGGATGAGTGAGAGAGAGAGTGAGAGTGAAGAGTGAAGAGTGAATCACACATCCGACAATCGGGTGATGCTCGGTCTTTCTGGACTCTGGATAGTGGAGTGAGGTGGAGAGGATTAAGCTTATCGGCCGATAAGGATGTTTGCTTGGTCAAGGTACCTAGGTACGGAAGGTAAGGTAGGTAAGGAGTATGGCCGGGATATCCGTGAATGTAATACCTACCTTACGTATAGGGTATATCGGGTATATAGGGTATATTTAAGTATTACCGGTACTCATGCTTGTGCTTGTGAATGAGACAAATTACCTACCTAGGTAGTTCATCTGGAATTACATATTTCTCCAAGTGTCTGAGAACGCCCCTTTAAGTGTATATTATATTACAAGTTGTTCATTCCATGACAGAAGGGTGAGGGAGGCCCTGGCTATATACACACACCCTTGCTATTCTTAGTCACACCTTACAAAAGCTGGCCGCTGAGCCTCGAAATCATCCGATTAATAGCCTTAAAGTCTAGAAAGTTCGAATTACTTACGTTTTGTGATAGACGGAATTCGTATTTGCTTATTTACCTATCTCATTCAGTGAGGGTGAGACAGAATAGGTAGGCTGCTTGAGTGAAGGTTTGCTTTCAATGCAGCTCTGCGCTAAGCGCGATCACGATCGACCCTTAGAAATCCTAGAAATCTTATTAATAATACAACCATCAAACAATCGCGGAGCTTCAATCCCTCCCGACCACCGACATCCGCCACGGAAATGGCCTCGATAGATCCCCGACTCAGAGATCTCTCGAGCGCCAATGCTCTCGTTCAACAACAACATCAACAACAACATCAACCATTACAACAACAACAAGAACAACAACAATCGCCACAAAAAAGCACTTCAACCTCGCAGGCGCAGCCAGCCCTTAATCAAGCGCGTCGCTCTCCATACATCCCAATCTACACAACCCCTCAATCAGCGGGCGCCTACCCGGATAACACTGGTGGCTCGCAGGATGGCAATAATGATGCCAACGACTCAAAGAAGTCTCGAGCATGCGAGGCTTGTCGGGGTCTGAAGGTTCGATGTGAGCCCGATCTAAATAACCCCGACGCGCCTTGCAAGCGTTGCGCCAAAGCAAATCGCAATTGCGTCGTAACCCTACCAACTCGCAAGAGACAGAAGAAGACGGATAGTCGTGTTGCAGAGCTCGAGAAGAAGATAAATGCATTGACGGCTTCATTGCAGGCGCAAGGCGCTGTAACTGCAGCTGCTTTGGCTGATCCAGGTGGAATGCGGCAACCTCAAGCTGAACAAAACCTATACCAGCAAATTACAAATGGAGGATATGGAACACCCTACGACCCGGGCCGCCCAGAGGAGCGCCTAGATGATTGGCATGTATACCCAAGAGCTCCAGAAGTCGAGCCTCGCACATCTTCGCCTCCGCCACCCATGGTTGGTGCTGGTCAGAAGAGAAAGCACGCCGATTCCTTCTCCGCTGCCTCAAACTCCCATATCGCGGCGAGTGCAGCCGCGCAGAGACAATCTGAGCCGGTAGTTGGGACCTTTCACACCTTGGACGCCGGCACTCAAAAGGTCGTGGCGACCCAAGAGTATACAGATGTTGTTGACAAAGGGCTTGTCACCGTGGAGGAGGCCACTAAGATGTTCAATTGGTATGTGGAGAAGATGGCGCCGCACATGCCTTCAGTTGTATTCCCTCCCGGCACTACAGCAGCTGAGATTCGTAATACCAAGCCCATCCTTTTCCTGGCCATTCTTAGTGCTAGCGCAGGGGTTCTGAATCCAGAGAAGCAACGTCTGTTGACAAAGGAAGTCATGAGCATCTATGCGGATCGGATTATCTGCAGTGGAGACAAGACCCTCGAGTTAATTCAAGCTTTGATTGTTTCCTGTCTCTGGTACTGGCCTCCCGAGCATTTTGAAGAATTGAAATTCTACCAGCTTATCCATATTGCCTCTGTGATGGCAATCGACATGGGGATGAATAAGAAGAGCAGGCTTCAAAAGAACAAAGTTGCTGGTCTCTTCAGAGACAATCCATGGCGCCGCACTCCGTTTCCAGACCCGGAGAGCTTGGAGTCAAGACGCACTTGGCTTTCTTGCTATTTCCTTTGCTGCAATGCATCCATGGGGCTTCGGCGACCAAACCTCGTTCGATGGACGTCCTTCATGACCGAATGTCTCGAGGTACTAGAGACTTCGCCTGATGCTTTGCCTTCTGACAAAACATTCTGCCAGTGGATTAGGAGTCAACATATCGCAGAGGACATCGGTACCCGCTTCTCTATGGATGATCCAAGCGCTAAGGTTAGCATGGCTGACACGTCGGTCCAACATGCCTTGACAGCCTTTGAAATCGAGCTCGAGGAGTGGTCCAACCAGATCCCACCAGGAGCTAATTCTTGTAAGTCAGGTCGTACGACCTGAGATGCTTCATACTAATTTTGATCAGCCTGCCTACAAATAACAGAGCATGTGGTGAACCTCTATATGCATGAGGTTGCTATGCATGTCGACCATAATGTTGAGGAGTTTAAACCGCCTTTCACGGACGCATTTAGAGATACTTCGGGTGATGATCAGAAGCTCAGCTCTTCCCATGTGAAAGCACTCTCAGTTTGCCTGAAGTCCATTGACGGCATATTCGCTACCTTCCTGGGCTTTGATGTCGAGACCATCCGATGTCTTCCAGTCGCTAACTTTGTTCGTGTTGCCTATGCCGTGGTGGTCTTAATCAAGATGTATTTCGCGGCAGCCAACCCGAACAGTAACTTTGGCAAGGTCATCAACAAGGACAACATGAAGGTGGAGCAATATCTGGATGGGTTGGTATCACTCTTTATGGCAGCCGCCCTCGAAGAAAAGTCACGTCCTTCGCAAAAGTTCCTCCTGGTTCTCTTGGTGCTCAAGACTTGGTTCCATCGTCAACGCGAGGAGAAGACTACGACCAGTTCTTCAAACGACACTCGCTCTGGCCCTGTAGCCGATGCAAGTACAGAAGCGCCGGTCGAGCCGAACCATAACTCCCAGGTCCAGCAACAACGACAAATCTCAGCCTACAGCCCTGCCAACAATTCTCTTCAACTTTTGAGTGAAGTTGCTACAGGTAGCGGAGGCCAATCTCGTTCCGGAAGTATCAGCAACTACCCCGGATCTAACGACTGGCAAACCTTGCAGTACAATAACAGCTTTCCTATGAACCAGGCGTACGGGAACGGGGGTGGCCAGATTGATCCCAGGCTTGGTATGATGGACTTCAACTACTCGATGGGCGATGGGCTGGAGCAGGCTATGGGTATGACGCTCGGAGTGGGCGAATACAGCATATATTTTGGTGATAACAGCTTCATGAATGGGTTCATGGGACTCGGAGACTTTGGAGACGGTATGGCGCAGAATATTGAGGGAGGTATGCAATGATGGTTGGTCTCTGTTATAGCAGCCGTTGGTGCACAGGACGATGGCGAGTTTTTCACCTGACGAGTTCCGTCTTTTTGAGAAGCGGCCATGGTTGTAATTTTAAAGACTTGTGGATCATGAATACCATGAAATTGCTTTGTAGTGGTTTGGAAGCAGTATTCTGCAATTTGTGTTCTTAGACCCAGACAGATTTTTTATCACTCCGCCCCCTCCCTACATCTTGAAAAATGGGATTGTCAGAAGCTTTCGAAAAAGCAGAGTTTCCTTGTGTGCTCTGGCTCCAACAAAATAAAAAAAAACTACTGATGACAGCTGCATGGCACGAGCAGGGATTAGTATGGATCCTTCTATCAGTATTTTCCGCGTCTCTCTCTCTCTCTCTGTTTCTCTCGATGCTCCTCTCGTCTTCTTTCGCTTACCTACCTCTCGTTTCGAGCTCTACATCTGAACCCTCTCTCGTTTCTTTCCTGCATTGGCAGTTTTGCAAACCTTTTCTACCGATATCTTTTCAAAGTAACATTGCATAAGTAAGAAATCGTTTCAGAGAACTCGGAAACTCGAATACATATACTCTACGTTGCGGTAGATAAACATACCCCGCTATCCAGTATCAGCATCCATCAACAAGCTTTGCCAGCTCCACCGGGTCCTGGTGGTCACCAGCACCGACGAAAAGCGCAGCTCGCCCGGGTATATATAGACAGCATCGACCCCGGGCCAGAGGAGGAGGAGGAGAAGGAGGAACTGGATTGACACGAACTGGATTGAATCGAGTCGGATCTAATTAAATCGAATTGAATCAAACGGAAGATCAACAAGATGTCCTTGTTGCAGAGAGTCTCGTCCATCGAATCGCTGGGGTCGATATATCCAGCGTCACATCCGCGGGCCCGCTCGGGCTCGCACAGTCCGTCCTCGAGAGACCGCAAGCTCTCGTTCAGTCCCTTGCCTGGGAGTTGGGATCCCCCACCTGCACCTGAGCTCGTGGCAGACCATATACCTCCTCCCATTGCCGCTTTCGAGGTTCCGCGGTCGAAGAGGATATGTATGTTTAAGTCACTGCCGGCCCTCACCCATCAATGCGACGTCGACGACATTTCCTCTGCTGAGATGTTCATTCGGCGAGAGAATAGCTTGCTGACTTGAACCACAAACAGTACAGGTGACGATCGCAGTGGTATACTGCCTATTCGCTGCCGGTATTGTCTTTGGATACGCAGCTCTCAAGCCCGTCCTTATCCGCGAGGGCATCTACCGAGAACGATGCACCCAGGACGAACTCGACCGCGATGTTCGGACATGCTACGAGCAGGAGATACACCTGAACCTGATGTTCACAGTGGCCGCTGTGGTCACCAACGTTGCCGCTCTCCCCGTCGGGGCGGTCCTCGACGCGGCCGGCCCTCGAGTCTGCGGCATCATCGGTAGCATTGTGCTCGCGATTGGAGCCCTGTTGTTCGCATTTGCGTCGCAGCTACCTTTTGACGGATACATACCCGGCTATCTCTTCCTGGCCCTTGGGGGCCCGTTTGTCTTCATTTCGTCGTTTCAGCTGTCGAATGCTTTCCCGAAAAACTCGGGCTTGATATTGGCTCTGTTGACGGGCGCTTTTGATTCTTCCAGCGCTATATTCCTTGTATACCGTATGGTGTACCAGTGGAGCGAGGGAGCACTCAAGCTGAACAAGTTCTTCCTCCTGTATCTGGTGGTCCCGGTATTCATCCTAGTGGCGCAGGTCTTCATCATGCCCACGGCATCCTACAAAACAGTCGGCGAGCTCCGAAAGCAAGTAGAAGAACAGGAAGACATTATCTACGACGACCAAGTCGACGAGAATACCGCCCTCCTGCGCGAAGAATCCCGTCAGCACCGCCAATCCGTCGTCTCCGAGATCACTGACCTGCTCGGCTCAAAATCAGGTGCGAAGCTTGTCAGGCAAGAGGAGCACAAGAACCAGATCTCAGGCGTCTACGGCGCCATGCACGGCGCCACCGTGCTGCAGCAGATCTGCTCGCCCTGGTTCGTGCTCGTCACCCTCTTCACCATGATCCAGATGACGCGCATCAACTACTTCGTCGCCACCATTCGCCCACAGTACGAGTACATCCTCGGCTCGTACGCCAAGGCGGTGGAAATCAACACCTTCTTCGACGTGGCACTGCCCGTGGGCGGGATCCTGTCCATCCCGTTCATCGGGGTGGTGCTCGACAGCACCAGCACCGTCACCGTGCTGTCTACCCTCGTCAGCATCGCCACCGCCATCGGCGTCCTCGGCTGCCTGCCGTACACGTGGGCCGCGTACGCCAACATCTCGCTCTTCGTCCTCTACCGGCCCTTCTACTATACCGCCATCTCCGACTTCGCCGCCAAGGTTTTCGGCTTCCGGACCTTCGGCACGGTGTACGGCCTGACGATCTGTCTGGCCGGCCTGTTCAATTTCAGCCAGAGTGGCCTGGATGCGCTGCTGCACAAGGTGTTTAATGGGGATCCGATCCCGGTGAACCTGATCCTGCTGGGAAGTGCTCTGGTGGTCGGAGTAGCGCTGTGTTCGTTTGTGGGCATGAAGTCGTACCAGATGAGGAGAGAGGAATTGGTGAGTGAGGCAGAGCATACGAGGGAGACTGTTATGCCGGGGGCTCAGAGCCCGCAGAGATTGTGAAGTATCGGGGGTGACGACGAGGGATGTCATCTTGGTGGGGTTAGTTGGCATACATAGCATGGAGTTCAATGGCGAGGCGAGAAAATGTATTAATGGGGGTCTCTTGATGAATAATGTCGGCAGATGATTAATGAGTATCTCAAGAATTCTTCTTTTTGTTGATCATTGTTTCGCTTAGCTCGTGCATGATCTCCCCCCTTTTCGCGTTAACCGAGAGAGATGCTCGGTGGGTGCATGGCAGTGTGCCCGCCACATGTGATCAGCCTTCTGCGAGCTGCAACAATCTTCCTTCCTTGCCCTTGCAAACCCCCCTCCCCATCTCTCCTCCCGAACCCAAGCAAGCTTACTTCAACCCCGTAGATCATGCCTGCCCGTCTACCCATTAACCCTCCCTGCACCCTCCCTCCCTCTCAATCCACTCATCCAGCCTCCCCATCAACGGAAACGGCACCTTCCTCCCCCCCTCCCCGCCCACTTCCCCCCAGACCCTCGCCGCAATCTCGCTCGCGCCCGGATCGGCGTCAACGGCCATCTCGACCGTCGGCGCATCAGCGAACGTGACCGCCGTCGGCTTGGACAGCGCGATCTTAATGCGCGGGTAGGTTCTCCCCGGGGGGGCCGTGGAGCTGGGAGTTGGAGTTTGAGCTGGGGTTGGGGTTGAGTGCGGGAGGGAGGTGAGGAGGTGGGGGATTACGATGTAGCGGATGAGGCGCGTGATGAGGTGTTCGGCGAGGGCTTCGAGGGTTTGGAAGCTGGATTCTTCTGTTGACTGTGGGTTTTGGAAGGGGGGGAGGGGTGTTTTCGTTAGCCGTTGTAGATAGATAGACAGACAGACTCTCATCTTCTTCTCCGCTGTCTCCTCGCTACTCTCCTCGCGAAGCTTCTCAGGCCAGGGACTTATCTGCATCTGTTCGGTTCGCCCTGAACAGGAGCAGAAGCAGAACGTGAATTCCAGCTCGAAACTGAAAGTGGGAAATGAAATCGAAAATGAAACATTGGACATTACCTTGACAACAACTTCCTCTAGTCGCGCATACCCATCCTCGTCGGGCCAGTCCCACCTCTGCATCTCGATACCCACATACACCATCTGCTTTGCGAGGCGCTCACACGCATTCACACCCACCAGCGTCGGCACTCGCAGCTCATGGAGCTTCAGCACCATGGAAAAAGCGCTCGGCTGCTGCTCCCCCCCGCCCTGGTCGCCGCCGTACGCGACACTCCCCGTCAAGCTGACGCCGCTGCCCAAGAGCGAGGCCTTCGGCAGCGAAACCTCCAGCTCGAGTAGTTTCAACGAGCTCGGCTTGAGCAGTGGCTCTACTCTCTCCTCGTTCCCATTCTCATCGCCGTTTCCGTTTCCACTCCCGTGCTCGCCTTGAGGAGCCTCAGGAGCAGCCAGGATATGCTGCCCCGTGAGCCGGAACAACACCCACGCCACCAGGTCCCGCATCCCCATCCCCTTCTCCGTCCCCTCCCCGCTCAGCCTGAACGCCTCGCAGGCCGCTAAGATGGCTTTGCTCAGCGTTCCGTAGTGCACCGTGCTGGCGGCGACGGTGTCGCTGCTCGAGGCGGTGGTGAACGGGTGGCGCAGGGACAGGGCGCAGGACAAGAGCACCGGCTGCGGGATTGAGGCGGAGATGGAGGGGCGGCCCCAGGCGTCGGTGCTGATGGGGAGCGTGGTGCGGAGGTGGGTGAGGCGGATGAGGGTGTGGGGGTCTCCTGAGAGGGTGGTGAGGGCGTGTGGGGTGAGGAGGGGGGGTGGCATTTTTGATGGCTTAAGGGGTTGTGAGATGAGTTGAGATGAGTTGAGATGGGTTGAGATGGGATGGGATGGGATGAGATGGGATGAGATGGGATGAGATGGGATGAGATAGAAGAGATGAAATAGTGCGAGAAGTCAAACAAGGTGCAAAGATGATGTCGATGGGTCACGGGTCGGGCCGTTGCGAAGCTTAGTGTCGAGGTGAGAGAGGAGAGAGAGATAGGTAGAGTACCTGCGAGCGGGCCTTGGAGCTACCAGTACCAGTATCAGTACCAGTACCAGTACCTTCCTCGTTAAGCTGGCTCCGTTGAGTCCTGGAGTAGAAAGAAGAAGTCGAACATCATTCAGTAAAGAAGATGCACAGCGAAAGGTTTGCAAGCTTCCAGCTATCACGACTTCTCTGCAAACGGTTTGCAAGCGTCATCCCATTTGTAGGCATGTATTACGAGCTATACTCATGCGTTTGTATGTACAAGTAGGTTCCGTTATCAATAACTATTCACAATCCTACCGCAGCCCTTTGGTGCACTTCTTCCCTTGCAGACGGGCCAAGAATTCCACGCGACCACTCTTTTATTCACATCCCAGACGTCATGTAGATTGAGGTCAGCACTTGTCGTTCGGATTTTTCTTCTTTTCCCTGTTAATTCTGCATCTGCTAAAGATATCACACGAGCAAGCCATGACTGGCCCTCTTCATCCGATGTGAGATAGTTAACAACCTGTGAAATACCTCGCAAGGGTAACTGGCGGAAAAGCCTAATGCAATGCCACTTTAGCAATAACCGTCCGTATCCCGTCCGTATCGAGTCCTACCAGAGTTTTTGCACCTCGTTTTGTCCCTTGATCATGCCGAAATCGACTCCAATGCTGCCCTCGTTTCCACCCAGAACGCCATGCTAATGCTCAAACACCAAATCCAATCACTCAGCTTTATCCGTCACAAATCCGTTGGCTTTACAAACTGGACAGATCCAAAGACCCACAGGCTCGCTCTGGAGACCAACACAGTTCCAATGAAACCATTCGTACGGGCATTGCATGTTGTCACAAGCAACCATGTCGCCGTAGCTGATACTCTGGCAGGTGCAGTATTTGTTAGTATCACCCCCCTCTTCTTCGTCCAAATCTCCCATCTCTTCATCTCCGTCGGCATCTTTGCGTCTTGGTGGCGTACCAACATCACCCTCCTCCTCAGAGCCCGAAGCTCCTTCGCTATCCACCAAAGACGCCGAATTCTTGGGCCCGGGTCGTCTGATGCGCGCCAGACCAGATTTTTTCAATGACTTTCTGGGTTGTCCACTCTGCCTGCTCCCTTGTGGAGCCACCTTTTTGGTACTCTTCTGCATTGCTCGTGGGCCTGCGCTTCCTGCTCTGGCCGACACCGCGACTGGTGTAGCACCTCTCCCTGGAGTACCTGGAACATTAGACGAAGCACGGTTTGGCAGAAGACTGCTGTTAGGCGGGTGAAGTCCTAAAGGACCAGTCCCAGTCAACCTTGGTCGCTTATTGTTGGCACCGGAGGAGGACTCACGGTTTCGTTGTTGGAGCGCTGCGTTATTAGGCGTTCCGGGAGCCGATGATGACACGGCATTGTTCTGCTGAGCCTGCATATGCGTAGGGATCGTATTTTTTATCGGGTACTGATTGGCGTGTCGAGTAGGGGGCACTGCAGCGACACTATGATCGACACTTGAAGCTGACTGCCGGGAAGTTTGAGGCTGTAGGATCGCGGCAAGCTCGCTGTCGTATGGGATCTCTCCTCTTTCCACCAGATCTTCAATATGCGTATCGAGCCATTTCAAATGTTTCAACATCAGCGTCTTTGATTTGATGGCCAACGCTACCTTCTCATTCGTTAACAACTCGGCCTTGTCGAAATTCTCCCTAATGATACTCTGCAGCTGTTCTTCTTTAGGGTTTGGGACATGGCTTCCGTGACTACGAATCCACTTCTGGATGAGGGCGTCATTTTTGGCAATTGTCGCCGTGCACTCCATAGCCTGAGCGTCCTTGTGTGCAATCTCCTCTTGGATATGCGCGAGCTCATTGTGCCAGTTGCCCGCGACGTGAGTAAAATCCTCGAGTACCTCCGTGGCATCCAGCTTCTTGTGTTCTGGGTGAGCCATGAAGCTGATGTCGCTGAAGCCGTCGATGGAAAGATCGTCTCTGGGCATGGTTGTTAATGGCAATTCGATGCCTCGTTACGATGCGGCAAGGCAAAGTAGGGCAGGGCAGACTGATCAGACTGATCAAGCAGGATGTAAAGGTGTCGCAGGTCGTGTGCTCACCTCGAGAAGATTTCCCGTAGACGATGCGACTCCTCCAGGCTTTCCCTCTGCGGTTACTTTACGAGCGAGTCGACGGTAGGGGTGGCTGGGTGGGGGAAGGGGGAAGGGGGAAGGGAATGGGTTTTGTTGATGCCGCCGAGAAGCGATATCTGAGGTATCTGGATTATCAGTATCGCCATAAAGTGGGTCAGTCAGCCTTGCGCTAAGCAGAGCCTCTTCAACTACTTCATCTCGAACTCGACATCAAGCTCGGCATCGCCATTCCCATCGCCCTTGACTCTCACGGTATATTGTTCCGATCTTTAAATGCCTCCGGAATATGTAAGCACACAAGTTTAGCATATTCTTACGGTGCTCGATACTCCCTTCGCCGTCTCCGTCGCCGTCGAAACCAGCTTGCAACCGTATATTGCCAAGCTCCAGGCACGCTCTCCATACTACCGCGCTCTCGTGGACTCGCAACGTCGCTGGATCTCCTGTACCTGTGAGGGCAATCTGCTACTACTGTCCCTAGCTAATAGCCCTCAACGATCTCTGAGAGAATCTCACCCTCGCTGCATGTGAGATCTACCGACCGCCGCATACTACTCGACGAAGAATTCCGCGCCGAAACTCTGATACCCCGGGAATTAGTAGACTTTAAAGGACTTCAAATCGTCTTGGACGGGCTTAACTCGCCAGGACAATGGTCCCCTCCTCGAATGGCATTGTCCAAGAATACTGGGAGCCGCTCAATCAAAACGGAGATCGCCACAATGCGAATCTTCTGGCGAAAGTAAAACAACAAATATGGGAAAATGGTATTGTTAAGCCAAAAGGAACAACGGTTTCCTGGCACTCAAATCCAGATATCGAGAAGCACCACTTTGGGCATTCTCATCCTATGAAGCCCTGGCGTCTAACTCTGGCAAAGAGCCTGGTCATGTCATATGGGATGCATGCCGCAATGGATACCTATGTCTCGCGCCAGGCCACCAGAGAAGAATTGGAAGACTTTCATAGCGAAGATTACCTGGACTATCTCAAGACAGCCAAGGTAGTCTTGCCAGATGATGACACACCAAAAGATTTCAGTCTTGGTGGGACGGATTGCCCAATTTTCGAAGGGCTTTTCAATTACTGCTCCATGTACGCGGGGGCCTCAATCGATGCAGCTCGTAAACTCTGTAACTGGGAATCAGACATTGCCATCAACTGGTCTGGCGGATTGCACCATGCTAAGAAAGCCGAGGCCTCGGGCTTTTGCTACGTGAATGATATCACCCTTGCCATATTGCAGTTACTTCGGACATTTCAGAGGGTCCTGTATATCGATATCGATCTTCATCACGGGGATGGTGTGGAAGAAGCTTTCTGGTCTACCGATCGGGTCATGACACTTTCGATTCACAAATACGAGGGAATGAATTTCTTTCCGGGCACTGGTGACCTTGACCGGACTGGTCCAACCGATGAACGCAACCCAGGTGCTCATCACGCGGTCAATGTCCCTCTTCTGGACGGTATCAATGACGAACAATACATCTACCTCTTCAAAACCGTTGTTCAGGAGTGTATGGACAGGTTCCAACCCGAGGCAATTGTCCTTCAGTGCGGTGCCGACTCACTGGCAGGTGATCGTCTAGGCCGGTTCAACGTTCAAGTCGAGGGCCATGGAGAATGTATTAAATTTTGTAAGGCCAAAAAGGTTCCACTCTTGCTGGTTGGTGGGGGCGGCTACACTCCAAGGAATGTAGCAAGAGCGTGGACAAACGAAACCAGCATTGCCATTGAATGTGGGCTGAACCCCATTATACCTTTACATACACCTTACCGATCTCACTTCCGCCACGAGACAATATTCCCTACGCTTGACCAGGTCCTTGGAGATCCTCGTCCCAACAAGAACACCGAGAAGAAGATCCGAGACATCATAAACTCGATCAAGGAACAACTCCAGTTTGTTGGAATCGCTCCGAGCGTGCAACTCCAGAACATACCACCCGATCTGTGTGGGATGAAAGAATCTAAGGACGACGAGATCAGAGAGGAGCATGAGAGGCGCGAAAGACAAGAGCATGAGAACTTCAGGCGCGAGCAGGAAGAGGGCTTAGGCGTCCCCATGGAGTTCTGAACATGGGAACCAGTTATTTTTTCTGCCATGATACCATAAGCGAGGCGTTTCAGACGTGTACTGGGCTAATTGCCAAAGGGCTTGGTTTATTGTGGACTCAGTATGTCAAATAATTGTTAGCGCTAAACCAAAATTCTCACCTTATCTTTTCCGCTGTTCTTGCACCTGTGAGTTTGATCGTTCTCATTGGTATCTACCGTTGTCAATTTTTACTCAGTAACGCCTCTAGCCCATTTCTAACGCCACATCTCCCCTTCTGCGTACCGTCTATGTCGTTTCTCTGTAAACAACATTCTATCGCTGACTTCTTTCATACTTTCCTGCTCAACGGCACGTCACCATTCGTAATCCTCCTGACAAATTCCGGGTCGGGATCGTAAAGCATGACGTGGAAGTGCTCGACCGAATGGATTGACTTCAAAGCCCTCCAGTTCTTGAACCAGATCACCTTCAACCCATTCCCCACATGTAAGCACGTATTTGCTTAGCATAGCATAGCATAATATAGCATAGCGCAGCGCAGCAGGGGCTTTGACTTACATTCTCCTTCCCAAGCACATCCACAAAGGTCCTCTGAACGAAGCCCTGGAGCGCACACCTCGCCTCGTCGGTCAGATCGTCTGTCTGGGGGTCATCTTCCAGCTCGAACTTCGTCCATACCACCCTAGATGAAAAGCCAGGTCAGTGAGTGACCCTAGTCTGTATAAATGCAATTCTAGTTTTGAATGTCGCTCAAAGCATCTAGCTAGGCCCTGCTCTCTCTCTCTCTCTGTCTTCCCGCCCCGCCCTCCCCCACCCGGGTGTAAAAAAGAGAAAAGAGA